GAACTTCGGCAAAAGATATATAGCAATACTAGCGACTGGCGCAAATTTTACAGCATCGCTGATGTCCTCAAAGTGTCGAAACAGAAACGGCCTACCCACCTTCCCACTGTATGTGAAAGCAGTGGATGCGAAACAAAGACACCGACGAAAGCAGAAGAGCGAACGCTAATTGTGATGGAAGCAGCAATGGCATGAAGGATGCTTGGAGAATCTCTACGAGTTCATATGCCAATTCACTAGTTAAATCATCTTATATAAACACACACCCAAATAAAATTAAAATGCAAGGGATGTGAAGGACAAAATACTTTCGCTGTTTTATAAAAATTGAAAGATTGAAAAAAAAGAAAAAGAATTAACCTCGGACATATTTAAAGTTTCAAGAGCTTTTATAGCATCTGGACGTTTTTTGAACTGTATGAAAGCAAAACCAGCGCATGAATCCGGAAAGCGTGAATCCTTGCATTTCGGTAGAACAATTTCTGTCACCGGTCCGATATTTTTACATATATCATGTAAGTCTTGCTCTTTAGTCTGCAAAAAAAGCAGCAAATTTAAACTGAAAAATAAAAATAGACTTAAATTTAAACTGGAGAATAAAATTTAACTTAAATTTCTCCAAAATTTCAATTTCCTAGTTCTCGTTGTTTTTGTGTTGAATTACTTGAACACACAGAAGAATTGACACACACACACACAACACACACACGCACACACAGACGCACACACACGCATATACACACACATACACACACACTGTTTCGTTTCAATGTATTATTTTCAAAGTTGTACGAAATCAAATCACGGCCACGGGCCTCTACGGCCTGTGCTGTCCTTCTTAAATGGCAAAATAAGGTAAATGAAAATTAAACAAAACGAAAATCGAATTATTTTCGATTTTATGATACATCAACATTCCCCAAAAAGATGGATGTAGGCTTCTTTTTGAAATTTCTGCTGAACTGGATAATGGAAATCGCAACTTTTAGTGGCGCAATGTTAAACCAGGCAATTTTACTCTTTACCTATAGCAC